CTAATAAACCGCAGGTAACACCGCAGGGCACAGCTTGTCTAGCCAAAAATACTGTTACAACTAAAAATCATCACAATATTACATTTGAAATCGATATCGAATTCGAATAGTTAGCGAGTGCGAAATGTCATTGTCAAATTTCGTATGGAAACTTAAACAGCAACGCCACAACGGACGTAGCGAGAACTAAAAATCAGTACACATTTGGCAATGACAGTTCGCGCTCGCAAACCGATTTTGAAAAATCTTTTACCAGGACGTAGAAAGCTACATTATTTCTGAGTAACTCTAGGTAGGTAGGTACTGCTTAGAAACTAAAAACAAGCTAAATTTTTAGTTGTCTTTCATTTGTTACGTGCCGATTATAATCTTAATTCGCTTATATAATTGGCATGTTTTGCCGAATAGTCGCCGACTACAAACTGTGTCGAATAGTCGTCTTTCCCGACTAGTCGGCGGCTAGTCGGCCGATCTCTAATATTAATTTATATCTTTATTATAAAAACGACAACTTTATAGGAAGCAACTTATCTCACCGATTTTGAAAAATGTTTCACCAGTAAGGTAGTGTCGCCGATGATGGCCCGACTCCTAGGATAGCCCACTTTTAAGAAAATACAGTTATGATTATTTGAAACATTTGAAATTTCGCGGGTTTATGCTACTAGTACCATAGACAATAGTGCAAGTGTGTTTCATTACCGGCGCGTCGCCATTTTGAAGACAAATGACAGTTTGCTTGGTCATGTCAAGACGATACACGTTTTTTAACCTCCATTATCTAAATCCTTTTGAAAATTAACAGATTTAAAACAAATCTCTTCGCTCTAAACTGTGAAAATTCATATTTAATCTATTTATCAGCGAATTACAGGTGAGTGTTATTATTTTATTTCCTTTTTTGTATTTATACGAGATTATACTCAACCCGGGTGTAATTTCCTATCATGGCCCATAATATAATTCCCAAACATAGCCCGGGCCTTTCTAGGATTATTGAAATGTAGTCCAGAGTGCAATTAAAGTTCTGATTAAGCTATTAAGTAAATTCACTTTTGAGATTCTTTTCAGATTTTTTTTGTTAGGAGTGTACACACTCAATTAAAGACAGTAGCGTCTAATTTGTTTTAACTTATTAAGTATATTTTGATTGATCCCAAAGTTAATTTTCAGTATTCCTTAGATAGCCCACCTATGAATGACATTAAAAAAATATATTTTAGAAAAAAGAACTAATATATTTTTATTTTTGATAAGTTACTTTCAAAGTTGATCTCAAAGTTAAATTTTATTTTATTTAGTAGTTTGTTTTTATTTTATAGTTGATTTTTATTTTGATAGATTTAAGATAGACATTTAAATTTTTGGTTGTTTTTTTACCTTTTATAAATAATGTTATGAGAAGGATGTGTTTTTATTTTGATGTTTTATGTTAAAAGTGTTTAAGTGTTTATAATGCATATATTTTCATTAATATTTTTTGGGCCATCTTCAGCAACCAGCATCCCAAGATAGCCCAATACCTAGTTTCTAAAAAGTGTTTAAATTTGTGTTAAAATGCCAAAAGCTGTACTACTTTTTTAGATATCTTGTTTCTCATATAAATATATTACAACTTCCTTACTTTACTTATCCTTATGTTTTTTCTTTACTTTACTTATCTGCAAGATTTTACGAGGTTTTGAAATTAAGTGGGCCTTAATTGGCACCTGTACCTTCGGTAGAAAACTACATTCTTCCTTAACAATTGAGTGACATATTAAGTTAATTTTATATCATCAAAATAGGCTAGTTGTATATTGAATAAATATATAATAAAGACAACAAAATAAGGAAATAATAAAAACTTTATTTTATATCCTATAAATAATATATATACATTTATCTCATTAACGATGCACAAACAAATTATGAATACAAAATAACTAATTAAAACCACCATCATGATCATCAGAAAAAATAACATTAACATTTAAAAGTCACCTAATTACTTACAATCTTACCTAAATATCTGAATTTAAACTAACTAGTAAAAAAAAAACTAGTATAAAAATAACTAGTTCGTAGCTGTCGGTCTTCTTATACTTTTAGTCGTACCTATCGTTTGAGCTCGATTGTGTCACTTAATAATAATAATGGTTTGTTTCCTTTATGAATCTGTCATTAGATATTATCGTCGGTAATGTTTCTTAGATGGATTCCTGGTCATAGTGATATTAGAGACAACGAAATCGCAGACACTTGGGCGAAAGACGCTACGCTATCGGGTAACCCTTCACGTCTTCAAAATTACTCTGCAGATGTCCTCCAATTAGCCAAAACCGACCTTTAATCCGAATGGAGTAAAAGATGGAGTCGTAACTCCAAAATTATAGGCCGCCATTATGGCAGCCTTCAGGAAATAATACCCAGAAAACCTTGGTTTGCTAAATTCCGCGACTTTCCCAGGCGGGTCATTACAACTATTAGCCGTCTTCGTCTCGGCCACGTTACCTCGCCAGTCTTTCTTTCCAAATTACGAATAATAGACAGCTCCATTTGTGACTGCGGACTCGAGGAAGGCACTGTAGAGCACATTTTTTTCAACTGTCAAAAACACCCATCTCTATATTCTCTACTTCCACCCAAAACTGTGCGTCCCGTTAGCATTAATACAATTCTAACATTGACCGACAAACGTGGCTTTTTGTGTTTATGTAAATTCATAAAAAAATACAATATTAAACTCTAACTTTTATTAACCTTTCTATTTTTATCTGGAAATAATTGTCGGCTCTACCCATGTCATATAATAATAATAATAATAAATATGTCCAACACTCAGACCAATTAGCCTAGCCCCAAAGTAAGCACTGTAAGGCTTGTGTTATGGGATGCTAGGGTAACGGATAGAATACATATACTGTACATATATAAGTATATTTATATAGAAATACATATTAAACATCCATGACTGGAGTACAAATGCTCGTATTCATCACACAAACATCTGCCCCCACCGGGATTCGAACCTGGGACCTCTCGAGTCGGCGACACCATGAAACCCGGCGTACAAACCACTCGACCACGGAGGTGGTCATATAAATTAATATTGTTTAACCTATGACGTCTTTGTGTTTGTTTGCTGTGTTGTGCTTTCAGAAAGTGAAATATTCAATGAAGAACGTATAATCGGTTATTTATATCACCTTAATCTGTTTCTACCGAGCAGTCTTTCTCGTGTCTCTCTCACTACCTACTGGACATTGGCGAAATTTCTGTGTAAAACGGAGAACACCACAGAAAGAAGAAAAAAAAATGTTTCTTAGCAATAAGTAGGTCGTTGTTATTTTGAATTAACAAAAATATATTAGCAACTAAGAAACAGGTCATATACTAGTTTTACACAAAACTTGTAGTATACTTGTTGTGACTGTTTAAAACTTTCTTTCGGTTATACTGCATAGACAACTAGTATCTTTAAAAGTTTAAATCACTATTTACTGTACATGTTTTGTCAAGTTATATTATCCAAACGGATTAAAAGTACCGCATGCAATAAGTCCCCCGAACAAAGTAACCGGACAGGACAAAAGACCGCGGGAGTCGCCGAAAGAATAGAACACTTTTGACTAGGCGCAGTAAAGCATACCTACAGCGAATTTAGCCTGCCCAGTTTATATTAAAAACGTCTTCTTTTTCTCAAACTTCATGTTAATTACAACATAACGAAATCTGAAAATATTAACTTCTGTAGCATGCGATTTTCTAAATTTTCGGGGGAGAAATGTTCGCACATCGTAGGCGTTGAGTCCGTGACACGTCCTCGGCGGACATTTTCTTTACGATTCAGGGGGACTTTAGTTCTCCGCGGATAAAAGTACTCCGTCTATGTAGATCATTATATATCAGAATCATAGAAAAATAAAAAACACGGATATCTTACGGATTGCTAAATTAATCTCACTTAAGTTTAAACTAAACGCTGAAACAAGGAAGAAGTTTACTCAGTGATGCTTCTAAATTAGTCAGTCCTCTAAACCGCTTCCGCCTGGTCGTCCGCACGAGACGGGAAACTTAACCAACTTATTAATTATTTATTTGAAATTGTCTGTGTGGTGGCTGCCAGCTTAAATGCCAAGTGTGAATTTTTAACCTGTTCTAGATAAGAAACTATGGCATTAAGGAAGACGCATTATCACTCATTCAATTTAGCAATTGCCTATAATTATGATAAGGGGTCATTCATTTATTACGTAAGACTATTTTCGGGAGTGTAAAGAGCAGGCTGTAGTAAAGTCTGTAGCACCATGATCAAGGGCGTATTTTAAAATTTAGTGCCCTGGGTCATTTACTATTTGCGCCCTCCCCTAGAATTAATAAATCAAATTAAAATATAGGTCAGTAATGCATGCCTTGATAAATGGCTTCTGCCGCCCCTCGCAGCCTACCTCCTCGGGCTATGGCCCTCTTGACCCTATGGTAAATACGCCCCTGACCATGATACAAATGTACTTGATAATTGAACTCTTCAAATACATTTGTATCATGGTCAGAACTCTTGGGGAAGCGATCTTAGGAACTTACACCGTGTAGCATTATGTAAAACTCTTTTCATGACACGAATATAGGTAGACAAGTACAATATGTATCACAAGAAATGTAATGTTTATATTTTTGAGATCTCCAATATAGAATCGAACCCAGCAACGCAAACCCATCGAAAGGCAAATTAAGAAATGTTGAATTAATTTTTATTTTATACCATCAAACACTGTCATTTTTCTTTTTGTTAACAATATTATATTTAAATTTTTGAATTTATTAATAAATAATACAAAATTATATTTTATTTACAAAACATATTAAAATAAAATACAGTGACAACATACCAACATTCATTAGCAAATTCTTAGAATAAACAGCTATACTTATGTATGACTTCATCCGTGACGCTTTGGACTTTGTACCAAAAACAATTGCAATAAATGTCTTTTATATTATTATTTATATGCAACTCGTGACTGCATTCATTCTTCGACCTTAGAACTAATTACAAATGTTATTGTGATTACGAAAATCTTAACAGACGCTGATTTTTTAAATTGAACAAATCCCGAATCATGTATATATAATAACATAGTTCGATGACTTTGTCCGGAATAGTTGTAAAAGACAATTCCATAAAATTTTATACAAGGTTAGCAATAAGTAGTAAGTCATTTTTATAACTTAAAGAAGCGTAACCTGAGATCGAAAGCTTGGTTTGGTACCTACTTTAGTCAACTGGACCAGCGTGAATAATTATCATTTTCCCCTCAATACAAAATTAATTTTTTTCATTCCAGGTATTGAGGCCCAATGCGCGCTCTATTCAAACCACAGAACAGAAGAAAGAAGTTCCTTAGTTTTGTTAATTAAACTGAAACATACGTTTTCTTCAGAGACAAGCAGTTGACGAATTCAAACAATGTGTTCTTTAGTGGTCTAAAGAACACATTGTTTGACCACGCCACCATCTGAACCACGCGGGTTGGTGTATACCTACTAGGTGCAATTGACTAAAGAGTACGTCATAAATACCAGCTTCGATCTAATTAAATCTAATTAATCGTCTACTGTACTGTAAGGTGAAAGTGCTAGGCCATCGCGTTGGACAAAATATACATCGGAGAATTGATCAAAAAATGGTTGCAGAGCGCGCCAATCTCTTTTCATGTGGTACGAAAAACCGTCACGGCGAAGGTACATGTTGGCCCAGCATGATGGCACAGCACTTCGGCCCAATGTATAATGGCTGAAAAGACTATAACTACAAAAACTACGTGAGATATATAATTACAAGGACTATCACAGCCAGAGTAACGAACATACCGCCTATAAGAACATATTTATCTTGCGACACCCTCCGCTCGATCAGTGATATAGTTGCATTGGACAAACCCAGGGTGTTTGCCAGGTCAATCAGCTTCCTATGGGCTCCTTTCAACGTTTCCCGGTTGTAGCGCAACGTCTCAAGAATGTTCGATCCTGGCGGCAAAATGGTAAATAAGAAATTTTAATTAAGTACGCCGTAGATATGCCTGAAAACGTATTACACGCGGAATGTAATTAGACGAATGCTCTCGAAGAATTTAAGCATACTTAATAGTACTGGTAGATGTCCCATTAATTGTTGTATTAAACAGCAAAAATATCTTATGATTATCTTAATATATACATATGTGTTACTTAATAAATTAAACATTAGAGTACTCGTAATGTTTTATTAAGCTTGACAATGGAAAAGCATTAACTTTTTCAGTGTTTATTTGCTGTTAATTTTTGAGTAGCACCAAAGTAGCGCATAAGTGATTTTGCTTTCCACTGTATATTTAAATTAAAGCATTGAACTGCTTGATTTTTATAACTAAAGAAAAGGAGACGGTTAAAATTTGTATGGAGGGTGGAGTCTTCAGCAGACTCCAAATTTTTATGACATGTAGGGCACATAATTGTAAATCGTTTGGCAAAAACTAGAATTAATTTTATCCCCGTTTTGTTTTCAAATAACTATTATGATATAAAATTATATAATTATTGATTGGCAAATGGCAAGTTTATATATCTATTTTTTGTTGCCACAGCATCAAATATATTCTTTTCAATAGGTGAAAAAAAGCAGTGTTAGTGATTCTGTTCATCTTTCATTACATAGTTAGGTATTTTGTGAGTATTTTATTTCAAGAAGAATAGATCATAAATTGGTATAATAAGTTCACCACGATATTACGAATATCATGCATGACCGGACTTATTGACATTTGCCATAGTGATCAAGTAGGTTGCCACACATTAAAAATATGACGTTAATTGTGATTGGTCAGCATTCTTACAAAATTATTATTATTAATTAATATCTTAATACAATATATAATACTGTACTGTCTTATGACTCTCCCACACTTACGTGACAAAGCATTGACTAGGTACTTATTGGGCCAAAAATATGAAAAGAAAAGCCACGAAAAATTTTGTTAACCGTGAATTTCTGGTATTTTGTTGTAATTGTCAGGTACATTGGTAATCCATAAAAATAGTGTTCTTTTTCTGCTCCTAATCATGCAAAATACAAAGGGCCCTGCTGGAAAGACAAAACTTTCTTGTTGAATTTCTGCTATTCTATTAAAGATCCGATAAGAGTTAATACGTGAATCGAGAGGTATCTACATTGGGACTAGCTATGATCAGTGTTATTTATAAGTACTCCGAGCGTAATACAGCCGAGAGCCCCGCTGGATGTATGAGGCGATTTATTGTATTTTCTATCAAAACGGTTGTACATTGAACAAACAAAGCATTTCCACTACTATTTAAAGTCTAACTCGAGTGGCCCCGCTAGATAAAAACACATAGTACTGACCTAGGTAACATTGTAAACAAAGTTGCATTTGTAGGTACTAGAAGTAATGAATATCTTAATAATTAAATATATTCACACATCAAAAAAGTAAGCAACACACATCCACCATATGTTTTATTAACTGATGTTTATTTTTTTCTTAACAAAGTAGATTGGCATCCAATAGGTTTTGTTCTCGAAAATATAATTAGTTAATTTAAAAATATAATCTTTTGGATTGTGTTTATACTAGTATAATATAAATATATAATAAGAGCCTGCGCTGAAAATAACTATCAAATATGAAAAACAAACACGCAGAGCGGGCGCCCGCTCCGTGTTCCCGCTTAACGCATCGTAGGCTCTTACAATAGTAAGAATTGTTGAAATGTTCAAAACCGTACACGGATACTCTTTTGTTGAGTATTGTTTACCCCTGGCGGTTATTTTCAAAGTCTTACATGTTGCCTCTATCTTTTAACAGCTCGTACTTAGCACACATGTTATTCATTAGCTCGTAAAAGGAACGTTAATTTTATCAGTGAAGGTTCTATTAAAAAGGTATGCAACACAAAAAGCACGGAAACGATCCAAACTAGTTGGCTATGCGTTCAGTACCTTCGCCTGTCCCAATGGACGAAATTAAACTACTACTGGCTATGCGTTCTAATACTGTCAAATGTAATGAAGAAGAACATCATTAACCTTTGTGCAATTACTGAGTTAGATTACCATCAAATAACGCTTGAATGTCGCGTGACTAGCCAAAGAACGATGGGAGAAAAAAAACAACTATTGTTAAGCTTTTATTTGAAAAAGAAACATCTTCGTCTGAATTAATTACAAGCAGGTTCAATTTGGTCGATACTTCTTAACCGGTCTTAAATTATAAGAAGGCTATGCAGTAGGCAATTGCATTCCCAATTCATTTTGGGAGTCTAAACAGGGATTATTGGATTCACTCGAGCACGGCAGAAAAACAAGCGGAGCAACCTTGCACCTTGTGAAGTACTCCCACCACGGTTGTGCCTTTATTTAGAGCCGAACATGTAGGGCAGCAAAAAAAATTGGACAATCGACCGTCTTTTGGCCGAGTCCAAATCGTCAGTCTTTGGTTCATTAAATATTATTCTCACTGATATTACTAATGGCATTAGGCATAAATATTATACTCCTCTAATTATCTATTTATAAATTTTATCCAGATTATAATTGTAAATAGTTTTTTATTCCATTCGCTTTTATTAGGGTTCCGTAGTCCTGACAAGGAACCCTTATAGTTTCGTCATGTCCGTCTGTCCATCCCCGGTTTGCTTGGAGACTGTTAGCACTTAAAATCTGTTATTTGTATAAATGATTGTGATATATGTAACACATCAATCACACCGACAAAATGGTAGAATAAATTTTGAAATTTTTTTTAGGGTAGTAATTTGATAGTATCGTTGTATAGGCTCTAGCCAGCCCACCTCCCTCCAGAAGCAGATCGGTCAGTCAGTTGCGGATGCCCTGAGAAGACTGGGATATTGAGACGCAAGTTGATTTTGTTTATTTGAGATACATAGTTTGCTATAAATTGAGTTTTTTAAATTTCCGATACAGAAAATAAAGACTCCTGCTCTAATACATTGTAGTAATAACAGGCAACTACTGAACCCTACACTGCGTGTGGCACGACACGCACTTGGCCAGTTTTTTACTCCGTGTTACACGTGTTTCTTAGACTAATTTGCAAGTTCTGAGTAGGTAGTCATTTAAGCAATTAAACATGCTTATCCGACTTCTTGGTAAACTAGTACCTATTGTAAGTAGTGCAGTATAAAAAATATAATAAGTTTACTTACATAAGCAGTGTTTTTTTTAATTTCAATATCTAGTTCTCATCAGCTACACAAAATAACCGTTACAATTTAATTGATACTTGTTGAATGAATCTTTAACACAGACATATTCATGTACGAGTTACATATTGAGTAATAACTACGGATCAGACGCTGGCAGGAACAAACCAGGTGAATTTATAGCTAAATAAAACAAGTTTTAACGGGTTAATGCACGAACTTTATTTATTGACGTTTCGCAGCCTTTTCTGGTCTGCATCGTCAGAATAATGATTTTTTATTTACTTTGTCCTTTTTAAAATAATTCCCGACCAGTCACACATGTGACATGTTGGGAGGCCTTTCTTAAAATAATTTCCAACCAGTCTCACTGTGACACGTTGGGCGACCTTTTCGAAATGATTCCTAACCAGTCACACTGTGAATCGTTAGACCAATCTACTCTTGGGTGTTGGTTATGTTACGTCTGAGGTGTATGTTGCGTCTTAGCCCTAATTTCAATAAATAATCAGCGACACTGCTACTTTTTGCTGTAATAAAAGGAAGGCAACATTTTTTTCTATTATTGCTTACTATCATCAGCTTATGATAAATTCATGTTTGCTGCGTAATTCAAGGTTGTTGAAATATTAGGTCCTTACATATGAAATTAGCGTTTTGTCGTACTGACCACTTTGATCTGAAATATCTCCGCTTTGGTTAAGAATTCCAAATTTAAACTTATAAATTCATTTAACTGGTACATTTGAGTTTCGAAAACAGTCATTCATTTGGTTTTTTCCTTATTTTTTTTTTCTTTGGCGTCGCTTATTACCGCCCAATGAAACATGTGAAATATCGGTATATTTACAAGTACTAGTTCTACCGTGGCACCAATGCTGCAGAAACAACTCGAAGGATTAATAATGTGTACGGCGCTGGTGTCGCAAAAGAAAGCATGGTACGTTTTTGGTTTCAATGTTTTCGTTTTGGAAATTTCAGAACCAACCCCGTGGTCGGCCGGAGACCAAAGTGGAAAATGAAGAATTAAAGGATATTGTGGAAGCGGATCCATCATAAAGCACTTCAGAGATAGCTGCAGGCTTTGGGGTAAGTGACAAAACTGTATTAATCCACTTGAAGCAAATCGGGAAAGTAAAAAAAAATAAACGGTGGGTACCTCATGAATTGAGTGAATTGAACTTGAAAACATGCGTCGACTGCTGTGTTACTTTGCTCAACCTACACAATAATGATAGGATTTTAAATCGAATCATTACTTGTGATGAAAAGTGGATACTGTACAATAATCGGAAGCGCTCGTCGCATTGGGTGAACCCTGGAGACCCAGCCAAATCCTACCCTAAACGAAAATTGACTCAGAAAAAGTTACTTGTGAGTGTTTGGTGGACTAGCGCCGGTGTCGTTCACTACAGCTTTCTAAAATCTGGCCAAACTATTACGGCAGATATCTATTGTTAACAACTGCAAACCATGAAGGCAGAACTAGCTGCTTAACAACCGAGATTGGTCAATCGCTCTAGGCCACTGCCACGGTAATAATATCATACAGTATTCTATCTTCATACAAATGGTCGGAAAGCGAGTCATACCTACGCCACTCGAGTTCGATGTGCTCTCGGCGGGCACCCAGTCGCGAATGCGCCGCCGCGCCGCAACGACGCCGAACGGTCTGAATTGTTTTTTATGCAGTTAGCCGTGCGTTTTGTATTGTAAATATTTGATTTAATTAAGTAGATACCTACATAATTTAGTATGGAAAAGAACAAACGACGATCAATATCGTACAACAGCACAATTGCTGTTTT